TCAGAGATGTGTATAAGAGACAGTCTATGCAGTTATAATCTGTGTTTGCTGGGATAATATTAAAAATAAAAAATTTATATTTAAATTAAAGAATTATAATAAAATTTGTAATTTTAAAAATAAACATGTATCTCACACACACAATTAATACTGTGAGACGATACTAAGAATCATCTATCATTGCTTGAGCTGACATCAACCTTTGCTTGAGTAAAGATAGTCAGTTTACCATGATATCGCCAATGTCAGCACGAAAATCAGCATTGGGCAAGAGTCGATAAACCTTATCTAAGTTTTTTTCGTAATTATGCTTGCTTAAATTTATAGCAACTTTATGATAGATGAAACTTTTTTTTATTTTTATTACAGAATAAAAAAACGATAGAAAACGTAATAATATAATATTTTCGGAAGATAAAAATAAAACGATAGAAAACGATAAGATTAATTTGTTTGTAAATCGTTAAATATCGCTTTCTTTCGATTTCTTTTAAGAGAGTTATTATATTTCACTTGATATTCTATACATGTTCAATATATCTCAACAAAATATCGTGAAATATCTGTAGGATCTATTTTACAAAACTTTGGAATATCCAGGAAATCACAAAGTTATGCTTAGGATTGCATTTAAAAATATAGGACAATTTAGAATATCCTTAAGATAAAGTGTGCTGTGTGGATTATTTATTTAAACATTACATTATTTCGACGAATAAATACTTACCCACAATCATTACTAATTTGAGCGTACCCAAAACCAATGCACACTAAAAAATTCAAAAATCAGTTTTGCTAGAGCCTCAAAATGTATTTTTTTAATTTTTTGTTATTTTATATGTTAAATAATTGTGTATGTTGTTAAATAATTATGTATAAGAAAATATTTATCAAATTATTATATACATATATATATATATATATATATATATATGTATATATAATTTTAGGATTTTGTTGATAATATACATAGAAGAATCTTATTGGAGCTCATATCTTTTGTGACGGAAAAATTAATCATAAATTAATTGATGATGCCACATGGTAATATAAGAGAGATTTCAATAAACGTGATAAAGACATGCGTTATATATGCGTGTATCATCTTTGCTTATTATCTATCAATATAAATAAATGTGGAAAAATGATATTTTTCTACACTGAGATTCAAGATCTGCTTTCTGAAACTGCCAAAGAACATATTTTGAAAAAATTTCTTAAAATATGCAGCAATACAACTACCGCAAAATATTATTCATTTACAAACTCTGATTTATTCAGTATTTATATTTTTTTAATTTTATTTTTAAATATTTTTATAAGTATATAACGCAATGCTATTTTATCGATAACCCTAGTAGCATTTTCTGCTGTTTTCTGCAAAGCAAAATCTGCGTGCAATTAATTGCAGCAGAACTCAACAATCTGCTGCAAGATTCGTGCACCGTACATGCAAATAATCTGCAGATATTTGCTACAGAAATTGAGCTATCTTGAAGCAGATTTTTTCCGTAACTGTAGTTTGTAAACAGTCTGTTAGCAGTCTGTCAGCAAACTGATATAAGATTCCTTCAGCAGAAGTAATGTGCAGATTCTGGCGAAAAAATGCTACAATTCTTGCAGCAGATTCATGACTATTTTATCAGCAGGACGTTATGATCAGCTTCCTTAGATTTACAACAGTCTTGCAGTAAATTGCTACTGAGAAATATACCTAAGAGAATACATTATCTATTTAAAAATATTCTACTGCATCATACTTGATAAATAGAAAATCTTGGAGAAGAAAAGATATAATACAAAACTTTATAAAAAAATACCGTGATACGGTTTTTATTTGGTGTCATAATTTGTTTCTTGCTTACCGTAAACAACTATTAATCTAACAATCCGCATGATAAAGAATATCGCATGAAATGCCAGCAATTGTAATCCGTGGCTGTCTCGACGCTCGATTTTTCACTGCTAATCATACATTTTCTTTTTTTCTTCCTTTTATTAATTCTTAATTCATAATGTTTAATCCGATCAGTAAAAACCAATAGTCAAATTAAATAAGTATGGAATTGTAAATATATGCAACGGTCAGAAAACACTTGTTAATTGTGAACACAAAACGGTTAGTTTGATTCGAAAAAATTTTAAGTCCACATTCAGCAGATTTCCCTGATAATATGCAACGTTCTGGCAACTATCTACTGAATACACTGGATGTCACAAGACTGGAAATAACGCACGCGTCATGCGTGTATGATACAAATAAAATGCATACTCGATTTATACGCTGCAAAAAATTATCTACACTTCGAACAAATCGAGAGAAAACATGATATGACCGTATATGTATATATGTGCACATAGAATGAAAGACCCTATTACTGAATACTGGCATATTAAGCGTTTACTAAAATTTTATTTAATAAATTTGTAGAATTAACGATGATTTAAGTACTAAAAATATTTTTTTCTAATTATTTCAGTTATAAACTTAAAAAAAATTATAAAGTTTAAATAAAATTGATATTTTTTAAATAATAAAATAATGAATAAGCTCAGTTGCATCTAATACTGACAACCTTAAAATTTAAATAGTAATTTGCCAGCTATACATTGTCCGTTATGGCATCGAAATCTTTTTAGCCTGTTTAAACAATTACATTAGCTTATATTTCTCATATAGCATACTTTATTGAGAGACTTCTTATAAACATTTTAGGACATCGTAATAACTATAAGAAGTCTTCCTAAAATAATCTCAAATATTCAAAAGACACACAGTAAATGGCAAATGTCCGCCTATGTAATATCTTATGGATATCTTATAGACCAAAGAAGATATCCAGAGAATAAAAAAGACGCTTATTTTTACTCGAACTCGCGCGAGACCTTTTGGATCATGAATTTCCTGCATTACGTACTACATATGCCAGTTCTTCATATAACAGATATATTATATATTATCTATTTAATCAGCGAGCGTAATATATATATATATACATATATATGTATATTTCCAATACTGTAATTTAATATTACAAAATATTAAACAATAATCAGTGGTAATGGATAAATATGTGAATAACAAATTGTCAATCTATAATTATACAATAATTTCATAGATTTATTCGTCTCTATTTTTTTAAAATGTTTTACTAAATGTACTACTACAGATATTAATTAAATCATATAATGAGAAATATATTTAAATGTACATTTATGTATAAAAACAATGTGTACAGATTTTTTTATCAGTTTTGTATACCTAATTAATATAAAGTTAAAATAGAAGTAACCCATTTTTGCTATTTCTTTGTATTGTTTATTTATATTTATGTTGTAGAGAAATAAGAATTTTTAAAACCCGTAAAATGATAAACGTAGCTAAAATTATAAAATTTGAATAATTTTTTTAAGTCTTTAAGTCTTTAGTTGTTTCTTTCAACAAAATTGCGACTTCACATAATTACGCATTCAACAAAGAATGTAAATAATTTATCGATAATATTGACTTAATGCTATGGCATAAACTAAGTACTTTTTTCAATGAATGCATATAACAATCGGGTGGTACTAATCAAATCAAAATTAAAAAAAAAAATTAAGAACACCTCGTTTGAGATCCGTTTGAGCATAATTTATGCGTCTGACTTTGTTCTATTTTTAAAATAACATCTTGTACCCATAAAATATGCTTGGATACTTCTGTATATAAGGAATATAAGTTGTTGTCACAATGATAAGTCTCACCCTTTCGTATCGTACCGAGAGAAACGCTAACAATACCTCGAAGATACCACAAACCATCAGTTTTAAAAACTAATCCACTGCCACTGTCACCGTCACAAACAGAAGAACCTGAAACATAAAATGCTTGTGTAAGTTATTTTTTATTTTTCGCATCTTTGTACAGAACAATTACATTTTAAATTGCCTTTTCCTTATTTTCTCTCATAATTTCTGTGCAAATAAAATAATTTCTTTTATAAATATGTTTCTGATAAATTTAATAAAAAAGTGCAACACGTTGTGCTAATTAATGCCACATAATTCGTCATTTACTAACCATTTGTGTAGCCTGCGCAAAACTTATCATTAGTGATAAATTGTTCCGTACTAGCATTTTGGCTAGCGAATTTGCATTGACTGACCGAAATTATAGGCACGGTCAGAGCCTGTAAGATTGCACTAGAGTCACCGAATGCGGTTCTACCGAATCCCGCTACCTTTCCGTAAGAGCCCGGCTCCAATACATTTCTATCGCTTGAAGTTTCTATACATACGGGAATCAACCAAGTTGACAATACAAACGGTGTGACAAGTTCTAATATCGCGATATCCCAGAGGTAATTTCCTATAAGTCCTAGATAATTATATCCGATGTAAATATGTTTTACCTGCAAGAAGGCACGTATGTAAACATTTATGATTGAAATATTCTGTATAAATTAATTTACATTGGAAATATACACTAGCACACCTGATTCCTTTTAACGAGGTTTGGATTATGAAAGGAATAATCGTAATCGCGAAAAACGTTTCCCGTTAATATATAAATTTGACTAGCGTCAATTAGCTGCCTAGTGTTCTCATCAAATACACAA